TTTTTTTTTTTTTTGGCCTTTCTAGTTTCTTGATATGTGCTGTTTTCGATTATTGATCTCAAAAGTTTATTACTGCAGTAAAATATAAATGGTCTGGAACGTTTTGTTAAATCCATTTTTTTTTTCTTTGGTTCTCAAACGATAATAATATTATAAAATTCCAAATAGAGGACAACCAATGAGCAGCAAGTGGTATAGACTAATCACTTTCAAAATATGGAGACCCCTTGATTTCTCCTCCAAACCATGTGCGATTCTATCACAGGTACCCCTTGATTTCTCCTCCAAACCAAAACAATGGTCTCTCCTTGTCTCATTATTATTTATATAACACCCTCAGCCTCAGGCCTCAGTTCCTTGTCCAATTCTTTTGAATTATGAAATTTATAAAGGAGATAGAAAATGTGCAGAGGGTTCGAGCCGAACGAGAAAGAGCTCTTGAAAATCAGAGCATTCTACGCTGAGTTACCGCCTCCGCGCTCCATTAATTGCAGAAAATCCAATTTGCCGGACTACCTGACGCTCCATTACCTCCCGCGCATCAACGAAGGGCTTCTGGAGATAGACGGGTCGAGAATCCGACCCGATTCGTCGGGATTCATGACGCTCCACCGGGTAGTGTCGGGCTCGGATGGGTCGACCAAATACGGGAGCAGGGAGAGAGTGGTGGCCTGCGAGGGGGCGAGGTTCGAGATATACGCAGGGGAGGTGAGGGTACTAAATGGGATTTTCAGGAGGGACGAGAGGCTGTGGAAGGTGGAGTGCGAGTGCACGACTAGTGACTTGGCGGAGATGTTGATGGTGGAGGTGGAGGAGGAGGGCCGGCCGGTGAAGGTGGAGATTGTAAGGAAGCAAAGGAGAAGGGTGGCCGGAGGGGAGCTGGAGGAGATTCCGGAGGTGGGGGAAGGGGACTATAAGTGCTGGTGCAGTGAGTGCGGTGGTGGTGTGGAGGAGGTGGAGGAGGAGGAGGAGGAGATGGAGGAAGGTGTGCGGTGGGCCGTGGAGGTGGGGATTTGGGCTGTGTGTTTTGGGGTGGGATACTTGATTTCTGTTTCTACCTCTAAGAGATTGAATTTGAGGAGGAATAAATTGTAGTAGTTTTGCACAAAATTCTCTACATTTTTTTTGGTAAATTTTCATGCTTGAATGGTTGTTTTGTGTTAATTTTGACAAGTAGATTTTCATCTAAAAATTATGAATAAACTCTTGAATTGTTATTTGAATAGAGCTTTTCACGAAAAACTTGTTTAAAGCTTGAAGTTAGTTAAGCGGGAAAGCCTAACCGAGCGAGCTTCAATAAGTCGAACTCGAGCAGGACTTTATATTCATTTCTTAAACGAGCACTGATACATATTTAAACGAGCACAACGTGCAGGGCTTTATATCCGTTTGTTAAACGAGCACAACGAGTCCAACTCGAGCATAGTTAATATTTGTTTGTTCCTCATTTCCCGCAGACGTAGAGACTGATACTTAAGTCCGGATGAGAAAATCAAATTGCACCTTAATAATATTTATGAAAAATAGTTGTGCTAAAAGTAAAATTTAAAAATTTAGCAGACGGACTTAAATGAAAACAATAAGAAGAGTTTTGGCTCTCCGATTTCCCGCAGACTGACCGAAGCTCGAGCTTGGGCTTGAATTAATCAAAGCCACGTACACGCGTGGTAACTGAAACTATGATACCCGTTGTGGGTTTTGCTGTCACACTTGAAGTCGCAGTAAACGCATTTATATGTACCCCGCGATGCTTCCTTTCTTTGTCTCGCATTCTCCCTCTCATCTCGGGTGGGTGGCTGCCCCGAAGGAGACGACGGGTCAATGTTGTAGCCGAGGGCGCCC